GGTCAGTCTGTAAATCTTCGGATAGCGGTGTCGGGGTCGAAATCTCCGGCGTAGCCGTAAATGCTTCGCGCTGCCATACGACGGTTCAGCACTCGGTGTCTGGAAGTATGGTCCTTTTTTAATGATCAAAAAGTAAAAATCCCAAAAACATGTTTACAAGCATGTGTGTCTATTATGCCTATATATGCACACTAAATGTCTACTGCCTAGTGTCTATTTGGGTCTATTCTCGATGAGAGGGTCCATTAACACGCATGTCTACATATACAAAATAGACACTCACAATATGCATGTATTTATTGTGTGTTTTCTTTATTATCTCACCTTAGAAGCGGACTATCATTGAGGGGGGAAGGGGGGGGGGGATGCTTAAATCCCCCAAAAAATATAGAGCAAGCACTTCACCTACGAAAAAAACATCGCGCAACCTCTCCTTTCAGTAAAGGAATATCAAGCAACATAAATTCCTGCAAAACCCACTCCCCTCAATTATCTAACTGTCGATCCCTTTCACTAGTTACACTCTTCAAAAGAAAACGATTTAAAAGTCCCGCTCACAAATTGCATCCACGTACATAATTGCTGTTTTAGGCTGGCCAGTTAGCACGATCAGCAGCAGTTCACACAGCTTACATGCGAGCTACTTTACATCGATCCGAGAAGAAACTCTGCTTGATTCATTATTGGATGCCTATTCAGTAGGTCTAGCTCTCTCAGGCTTTACTCACAAAAGTATTTTGAAATGGTGGATATTAACTTTCTTAAGTCCTCACTCACTCATGTCTTGATTCGCCACCGAAGCTATATCGCTAGCGATCATTCGTCCAGTGCAGCTTTAGCGATTATCTTTAAGTTACCAGTAGTGATCGCGACAAATATTCAAATATTAACTCCAGCTAGATAAATCAAAAATCATGGCCCACCAGGCAGCGATTGTTTCTAGTGTAGTCGATTGTTTCATTCTTGGCTGTGTTTGGTATTCTAGGGTCGTTTACTAACCGCTTACCGGAGCTGATGATTTATGATCGAATGCTTTCTTACTGTTCATATTTTTTAGGAACCATTCCGTTCCATCTCGTTACATTTTATTTTATGCCTTGCCACTCTTTTTTATTTTTTGGACCATTAGAATGAGGGAATACGATAAATATTGACAGGTATAAAAGAGGGTACCACAGTACTTAGCAACCACTAATAAGGGGGGATCATAAAGAAATACAGTAAAAACCCGCGAGTAAGAACCTACATTTTTTAGAGTTAGCCTAAACAGGTTCTTGTTTAATGGTAGTTAACACAATTTTAGGCTGTCTAGGTTCTTAAATAGGTTCTTATTTCTGTGTAAAAACAAATAAATGTACTCATGTACTCACACTGTAGACTTACAGTACATTATATTTCACATGCTGACTTGTTGCTGTACAGTTTTTTTTCATAATGCAATACAATTAATATCAACCTTCCATCACTTTACATTTTTATTACATTAAAATTACACAAAGCAAAGAGTAAAGTCAACAGAAAATGGAATAAGAGAAGGAATCCCCTCGCCCCATTATAAGCACTCTTTGATGCTATTTTTAGAATCATCATTTGATCGTTCGTTTTTCTGCACCGCGCACTGCGCGCGCTGTACCTGGTTGGCTCATGTTTTATTGTTTTTCAAAAAACGTGAGCAAAAAACGTGGAGCGCGCGCAGAAAAACGAACGATGGCAAATATAATTCTAAAAATAGCTTCAAACGGTGACTATATGATGGTTACGAGCATAAATACCAGAGATTCCTTCTTTTACTTCATTTTCTCTTGGTAAAGTTCGGTACCTTATTCTAAACGTTTGTGCATCTTATAAGCAATCGGCTCGTACTTTCGATCTGGCCTTATTGACCAACAAAACTGATGAGACCACCGTTCGACTACTATTCTAAGGCCTTGCTATCTTCGTAAATCAATACTAAAGCTTCAGCAATGAATTGATGTCGACCCCTTTTTGCTACCCTCTGGAGATCATTGATTGCAGATCATATTTAGCCGGTCCCCTGTGTTGGCGGGAAATGCTATCTGATAGGTATTGATAACATTTATGAAGTATTAGGCTGGGTATTATCGATAAGACCCAAGGGCAGTCAGGTTAGGATCATATTCATGGCATTTTATGTTCTCAGCTCAGCTGACAATCACTGATATACTTGCCTTCTTCCTTGATCAGGAACGATTAATTTAAAACAAGCTAGACTCCAAATTTCATCCTCGGGAACTGACCCAGGGGTAAAATTCTGTCGCTCCTTTCTAGCTCCCTGAAAAATGCTTTTAAATGCAATCTCAGTGTAACTGATTGTTTCTCTAATCCCTCCGACGTGCTTTCGTCAGTAACTAAGACTCTCAAACAATTCTAAAACTGTGGCAAACGATGAGGTAAACACTGAAACCCAATTCGAAAGAATACTCGATGTTTGTCACTTGTTCATGCAATCACGGTGTAAACTGGTCCCTGTCTAATCCTCTTGACCTGCTTTCATCAGTAAGTAAGACCCTCAAACAAATCTAAAACTGCCGTGGCAAAAGGTGAACATTGAACAGTGAACATATTACTAAAACTCGTAAGTATCCGCAGAGAAGAATATTTGGTGTTCCTTTTCGAACGTCACAAGCTCGTCAATATCAATGTTCATTAGAGATTCTAGATCCGATAAATCACTGATGCATTCTTGTGCAGTTCCAACTGATATAGGACTCARCTCTTCGAACTCCTCGCTTCCACTCGACGATCGACCAGAGTAACTCTCGTGCAACATTTCCCTCAGCTCGTAGATGTACCTTGCAGCCATCCAAATAATATCGGTCTTTGTGGGCTTGACAATTGACTCATCTATTGGAAGGATACTCTTAAGCAGTTCGATACCTTTATTCAAAACTCTTACTCGTTCTCTTTCACGTGCGTTGGCTGCCTTGCGTAGCTTACTAACGCCTGTCAAAGGAGCTGATCGTCGCTTTTTCTTTTTCGTTCTTTCGTTCGCTGCAGTGTCATCTTTCTTTCTGTCTTGCATATTGTTCGGCACCGTGTTGCCACTGACGCTGTTACTCGCACTGTCACTTAGTACGTTCTGCGTTCTGTAGCTCTGGATTCAGTCCTAAGGCGCGTTGGCGTTTGAAAACAATAGATTAAGACCTCTACTTATCAGCTATCTTAAAAGCACAAGAATTACTGACGGTGGACAAGGGTTTGTCTATGATAGCGTTTCGAAAATAGTGTAATACATTTGAGTATTTATCGTAGTAGTTGTATATCATTCTCCAAATTTTCTGATTGAGAAAAGATCTTGCAATAAAGGAGGAAACTTTGGCTTTTTTTGTGGAAAAATTGATGAGTTTGGTGGTACAGATAATCAAATTATCACCAAAATTTTACATACATGTGGGTTTTCACTGTTTAACATCATCTTGAGTTTGTTTTGCTAGGATTAGTCTGACGTATTTGTACAGCGATAAAGATCTGATTCAACGTGGTGAAACCACAACAGAAATAACAGCAGCATCAAAAGTACACTTGAATTTTGGTTCTCATTCCTTTATACTCCTTCAAAAGTTCAAATTTCCACGAACTTGGTTTTGAAAAGTTTTTTTCTCCTAATCTTCAAAAGTTTCTTCAACATCAAGTGTGTCTTCAAACGTTTTTATCCATCGCGTCTAATATACGGTGATAAGTGCTGGGAGAAACAGTTGTAAGTAAACATTTGCAAACGGAAATCAAGTTTAGTCTGATCGAGAACCACGCAACATTTGACTCATCTAGACGATTTTTCCAGAAAATGACTTGATGGTTTTACAATAACAATAAGAATGATTATCAGGACACCACTATTCAAAAATTACAGCCACGTGCCCTCGAAATACATTAGTCTTGACTAGAATCTCGATTTGTGGAAGATAGCCAGAGTAGTTTTGTTTTCTCTTTAACAGGAATAACATTTACACAGCATGGCTATAGTGTCTGTTATCGCCATCATACTTGTATTCGGACTCATTCTCTAGCTATCGCGAAATCGAGGATTTCAGCATACGATAAGGTTGGAATGAAAGCCAAAATGCAAACTGAAACAGAGATTGCGCTCATGAAAATCATTGCTGTCTTTGTTGAATTTACATGTGAGCATAGTAATACTTATTTAGGTCTTTCCTTCTCTTAGTGGGTTTGTTCTGGTTTTCCGGTTTTCGATTCCCGCTCCTTCCGCGAAACCAACTGGCTAGTAAGCTAAATTTCTATCGATATTACCGAGTTACCGCAGTGCCCCGGCTTTGATCAGCTTGCTTTAAGTTGGCGTTGATCAGGCCACTGAGAGTTTATTTCGATTGTGTATGCGGAACTCTAAAAATCACACTTCCATACTGCACTCGATTTTGCCTCGTGCAGCATTTAAACTCACTTTTAAAACGACTATTAGTTTAATGCTCAAGTGTAGGACCCTTTACAGTGTGACTACACCAACCAAGGCCAGCCAGAAAAATTTCCGGCATAGAAATAAGCCAATCACGATTGAGTATTCAAACAATAGGATCTGAACAAATTTATATWTTTTTTTCCTTTAAAAGCATATATTTTACTTTTTACATGTGACTATGATCAGGAATACCAAGAAACAGTTTCAAACTCCAGAATTTGTCACCATCATGTTATATCCAGCGTCAATTTAAACGTGATTTGTAAATTTGATTGAAAATTCGTTTCGGTAAGCCTCGGTAGTCGCTCTGTAATAGTCAGAAGATTGGTGAGCATGCAGACTCACTGAGTTACTTTTTCAAATTAGAGTTGCTTTTTTACTCTTTAAAAAAAAGAGAAAGCCAGAACTCTCCCTCAAAAAGACGTTATGCTTACTTATAAAGCATTGCCTGCGAACTGGCGGCGCCGTCCGGCAGTCGCCACTGTTTATCGGTTCCATCGTCGGACTGACCATCATGTACGTAGGAAAGTAAAGTCAGTTGCAGGATGGTTTTCTCCTGTGCTTCGAATGTTTTTAACCGGCGGGTTCTCAAGTTTTTCTCCTCCGTTTTCCATAAAAATCGACTTCTATATAAATATGATCAAATAAATAAATATAAATATGGAATGAAAGCTGCAGTTTCAGTTGTAAGTCATCGGCTATAAGTGCCGTTACCATTTTACAGTAAGGACACTTGAACTATGAACACTTTTTWAAAAATTTTTTTATACATATTGTAAATCAGTCCTTGAGCCAATCGACTGGAAATAAGATTTGTCTTGCTCACTCGGTGTATTTAAACTCAATGCTTCATATTTTATAGGGTTTGAAACAATAGAACAGGTAATGATAACCTAAATAAACTCACAAGTGTTCAAGTGTCCTCACTGTACTAAACAAGGAAGATAACCTAGTGTTTTATTAATTTTGTCGTTAATCTTACAAGGATACTATTAGTTAAACTAGTCTTTTGTTAGTGGTTTTATTTAGTTCCCTTCTGATATTCATTGCGTAAAATATGGCTATGAAAATAAAAAGTGTAGCGCCGATTGCGAACCCAGTTTGCTTCTACCGGGTATTGTGCTGCTATAATATTTTCGCGAAATTCAAAAGCGACTGCAAAAAAAAAAAGTTGCGTTTTTGGTCTTTAAACTATAATATTGATTTGGTTAGCTTAGAAAAAAGTAAATATTAAAATATAATTTTACGATCGTTTCTGACGAAGCTGAATTTCAGGTGCTGCCAGAGCTTTGGGCTCAGTATTCTAAAGCTATTCTAAAGCAGGATAGCATCTACTTGTCGAGTATTTCTTAAAGACTGATGGCTACACTTCTGGCACAATGATTACTGTCTCTCATACTCAAAAACAGGACTCGTGTCGCCTCACGACGCCACTACTGACCAGTTCTAGTTTGCGCTGTGTAAGCTTTGTATTGATTAAGAAAGCAGACACTGAGCTTTTGCTGTCGAAACCAATTGTCGCGGCGGATAATAACTGACAAGGAATTAATTGACCTCTGGAGTATTGAACCCGTAACACAAATGAACACGTCGTTGGGTCTATTACGAACTAATTAGAAGAAAATAGCGGCAATATTAAATGGCAATCCGGGGATGAGTGGCATTAGGAGAAAGGCTTTGTATTAGTGGCAGTGAGGGTCTTAATAAAAGGCATTTTGAGCTGCAGCCTGCCATGTGTGTGAGGTAATGCCAATGCCACCTTGAAGGGTATTATACTCATATATATGTACAGTCTAGTATAAGGTTTAAGTAGTGTTAAGAATGCAGGAAACCGCGAATAAAGCAGTATATAAAACAAGTATTAAAAGGACTCTCAATGAATAATGACAGCCAATTGTCTAAGAGTTAAACGAGTTAAACGGCGCTACGTCGATGACAATAAAACTAAAAACCCCTACATTCAGTGTAGGTTAATTCCCGTCCGAAGTTTGATGCCAAGTTGCATTGATCATCTGCACGGGGATACTTGAAATGAACAACAACCCTTGAGCAATACATACAACAGTCATGGACTCTATGGCTGCTTGCCTTCACAAGCTATCACTACAACGACCATCTTATACTCTTCATCCCTGCTCGCGTAGAAGCAAGTACCACCTCAAAACTCGTTAGCAAACGTACTTTCCGTGCCAGTGTCATCCATACTTGCTTAACGATGGCGTTTTGTCCCGGCCGCGGGCTAAGCGTCAGGGAAAGTCAATCTCTCCACTCGATTCATTAGCCACGTGTTTTTTAACTAAATAATGCTGCTTTTGCTGACTTTACAAAGGTATTTGTTTAAACCTCYGATTATTCCACATATTAAATGTAGCGGTTGGCTTGATGCACGTGGACCCCCCGAGGTGCCCCATAATATGGCCACCTCAAATGAAATCATTCCCAAAAAAACTTGTAGTAAGATTTTTTCTACTTTGCCCAGCTACCGAAGTGTTATATCTTGATTTTTGACTCCTTTTTCTGTCCTTTACCTTTGATTTTCCTACTTGGAGCTGATGAAATTCGCTCCTCCCGAACCGAACTCAATGTAATAAATTGTTCTGTTTTTTTTTTTTTTTTTTTTGGCACTGATTGTTAATGCCATAACTTAGTTTCCTGGGTTAATCGCCGAGATATTTGAACAGTTCATTAGCCAGCCAGTCATATCGTGAGCTAGTTGAGTATCCTAGCTAAGGCAGCAATCTTCTAATCACGCAGTCACGAAAACTCTTCTGATTGTCATGAAAATTTTAACACGAAAATGAACATAAACTAAATTATATTTCAAAAACTGAAATAAGGCCGAAAGAAAAAATCGTCAGCCCGTTAACTCTGTTTACTTTTTCTAAGCGAAACTTTATTCAGTCTTAGCATCATCGTTTAGAAAGGTTGGCTCGAGTTTTTCCTGCCAATGAATCTCATAAATCAAATAATTAGTTTTTCAAACTATTTTTATCACATATCTACCTTTTTTTGATTTTATCTCTTAGTTAAGATCAAGATTCGGATCTCTACGCCTTCACCATGCAAAGTTCAAAAGGCAAGTGTTTCAGGGCATTGCACTGTAATTATTTCATATATTGGTTTGCCTTGTTATTGCTCTAATTGAATTTCTATTTTTCTGTGATTAAAATTGTTATCTCTCGTTATTCGTGCAGAAAATAAGCGTGACAAAATGACCGGCAACGCTTGCAGGTATAGAGATTTGTATCAATTTGTTTTTGTCACTCCTCGTTTTACCCGTAATGAAAGACACTCTATTTCCAAATGTTTGGTTAAAGACGTTTCTAGATAGTCAGCACAAGTCTGGTATATAAAAAAACAGCAATTCCGTCTTTCTATTTAAATGTTTATTAAAATTCCAACAGGGATGTCCTTTTTAGGTGTGGAGTCTAAGATATAAACAGATGCATTAAAGACAAGCTATTGTCCTGTAGTCCAAATGGACACGCAGATTATTAGTTATTAGTCTCGGACTGTAATCGCTTAATCTTTTGAGCAAGCAAAGCTTTATAAATGCTCTTCGCTGCTACACAGACTGGTTGGTTATTGCAGGGGTAAAAGAGCAGATATTGTTGTCTTTAAGCAACCGTACTATATAGCCTAGCCGCATGTTAACAGTCTCATTCATACCCCCAATCCAAATACAAACAAATGCCTAAGCATTGCATGGAATGTTTGAGGAGCAGAAAGCTGCAGACCTTGCGCAAAGTAATCCAAAATCCAACATGTCAGTATATAGCTTTGATTTATGGTGAAATGATTGTGCTGTTGCCATGCACACTCCCACACAGCTAGGGGTCGCTCGATTCCTGTGTAGAAATGTTTCATGTTTTCCATGACTTCGTACGAAAAACTCGGCAAGAATTTGTATTGGTGAATTATTCACTCCTTCTAGAGTCGCTTATTGAGTATAACGATCTTCTAAGTGGCAGCACTCGGTATTAATCCGCACTCAATTATTTTCACATCTTGAGTACAAAAAATATTGGCGTTAATGACTGTTTAAGAATATTAATACTTCAGACACAGGTAGCTGGTGTCATACGTAACTAATCTTCTGTGTATCAAACAAAATCATTCCTTCACCCGTTTTCGTATTTGAAAGAAGTCTTTTCTTCGCTAAACAGCGGGACTTCATTAGCAAATTGATTTTAATACAAACAACGGTTGTGATGCGAGTCTGTGGTTCGCTCTGAATTCAAACAGATTCGCTCTCTCTTTTAACCTGGGATTTTGTCAGCGTTTGGTTTAGTCTGTTCATTTGCATTGGATTGGATTTTGCATGATTGCAGCATGTCTCAGTTATAGCTGCATCCGATATCTGTTATGTTGTCTCTTCATTAAAAGAATGAAAACAAATACTTCTTTTTGTCAAAAGTGCTGGCTCGAAAAGAGGAACAGTAGCTCCTAAAATTCATTTAGTTTCCCAGTCACAATTTCTAGTCCAAAGGATTCTAAGTTCCATTTCGAGAATTCCTCAGAATACAGAATAATTTTTTTAAAAATTTATACAGCAAGATACCGTAAGCATTTGTAATTCACCAAAAATCGAACGAACCCGAAATGTTTTGCAAAAAGGGAACCTGGTGTATGGAATGTGAGAGACTGCTCATTTACCAAACTCCCTGTAGCGATAGAACACTTGATCATACTACGCTCTCCTAGTCATTACCTGTCCTTTTACTTCCACAATGCATCGTTTACATAACAATAACCTAATAAAATAACCATTTATTATGATTTTAGCTCAGTAAAGAGAAACATCAAAGGCGCCGTCTATTTAATGATATAGAAATCAAAAAAAAAAGACCCGGGAAAGAAAATTTTTCTAGCGGATTAGGTCTCATTTTCTATGGGGTAATCGGTCAAGTATGTTAAGGGTTTGTTTTGTAGATCGTCGACATTCCCCCATCGAAGATTATATGGGTGAGGAGATTTTTTGTTCGGTTGTAATCTCGTTTAGTTTTGAGCAAACAAAAACGTTTACCCGTAAATGGCGGCAAGATTAAAAGGCACTAAATAAGATAAATCCTCTTTTTGAAGTATTCTTCTAGTCCAAAGTCTTTCATAGCACAAAAGATATACATCTGTTGTACGGAATAAGAAATGATGAAGGTGTGTAGTACATAGTTTACAGGCCAGTTTTGTAGCTTAGTTTGTACTTGAGACGTAAATGTATGTTACTTAGTTATCTATTTTTCTCTTTGGCCATCATTTGAGCACGCGAAGCCACACGCATCTTTTTGTGACACCCCATCGAGAGAAATAGTTTCCCGAAGCAGAAAAATGCCATAAACAACGCGTACCAAATTGCCCGCATACTTTCTTTTTCTACTGTTGCTGAGCAGTGAACTCGAAATATAACTTAGTACTTAATCTGCCCCCAGAAGAATGCTTTCATACGCCCAGCAGACAAAAGCCTTAATAAACAGGATAACCAAAGGCATCTTAATTATTGAGAATGTTTTGGAAATGTTAACAAGGGTTGTTGATGTAAATATGACATAGGAGAATGATTTGAGGAAAGATTAGGGTTCGAACCTGTTGTAGCCAAAGATAACCAATAGTCTTTGTGAAACTAATAAAGGAATGTTGTCAAAATAAAGTTAATCACGCAAAATCGTCAACTATGTGCCTGTTGACATGTGTTCGAGATAGCTTAGACAAAATTTAATTTGATTTGGAAGTGAATTTCATTCCAGGCCTAAGCAGAGGTGTGCCCGAGAGCCTAGCGTGAACCGCAAATCTATTGTTTGTGTTTCTATACGATGATGTTCTTCGATGCAGAACGATCTCCAGGCACTCCTTTAAAACCATTGTTTTTAATCAACAACCCAGAATATTTTTAGCGCTGCATCGACACGACGAGCTGCTCATTTGACGAGATCGCACGATGGAGACGACCTTTGAGGACGCACTAGATATGGTGTGCATGGATGATGTCCTACCGCCAGCCTCTTCACCTGAACCTGATTCTCCACAACAGAAGAAGAAGAAGGCCAGACGGCGTGGACCGCGGCTGACAGGCGTGAGCAAGCAGAGACGTCTTGCAAATGCTCGAGAAAGAAACCGTGTACATATCTTGAACATGAACATCCAAGTCCTCAGGGAATTGATTCCACTACCACCACAAGAAAAAGAACCAACCAAGACAGAAATTATTTGGATGGCTGCAAAATATATTGCACTTCTTGGAGATATGTTGGATCAGGAACCGTTCGATTTTGAAGAATGCAGTGTTCTTAGTGATCTGTTTTTGGATGCGTTTTGCTAGGTGAGCCCATTCTAGTGCAGGTCTTTTTAAATCATTATTTCAATACTGTCAGAATGATAACCGTTATCTTATCATGCGTATCTGAAAATTTTCAAAATTAATACTATGAAAGAACGTCTTTTTAGAAAAGAACCAATGACGCTTTTCGTTGATTTTGACTTGCGTTAATCCTATGTGGTATTTTCCCAAGAAAAGGAAGACTACTACTAAAACTTGGAGTTAGCTGTTTAGAATTCCGTTGTCTTTTGTAAAGCAAAAAATCGACCCGAAGTCATTGTGTTGTTTTGTTTTTCAGAATCAAATTGTGTTGACCACCTGCGAAGTGCCCACAAAAAAGACTCAAGCTACGCATTTATACTCCATCGAGATCAAGAAAAACATCAATTCCTACTTATTCTGCTGCTATAACGTGGTAGTTCTACGTTACAGTGATCTTCATTTTATCATCCTTTGACACAAAGGTACTCATTCCTACTGCTTTTTGCGCAGTATTCCATAAAACAATCGAAAAATAATACGAACAACAACAACGACACGCAAAACATCCCAAATCACGAAAACTTAATTATTCAAGTTTATGATCAGCTGTGTAGAAAACAATTTAATTTTTTAAATGCCATTGATTTTTTAATGAGCAAATTTTACATTTTCAATTATCTTGGAAACAAAATCCACTTTCATTTGCTATGAAAGTATAACATTTTCAGTTTTATGAATCATCATTATTTGAGAGCCATATTTCAAAAAAAAAATTTTTCAATTACTTTGAAGAAAATTATTTTCATTTTCAATTATTTTGAAAGCACATATTTTCAGTTGTTTGAAAATTAAGATTAATTTGGAAGAAATATTTCTATAATTACAACTCGTTTCCGTTTTATGGAACATCGAAGGAAAATTTAATTATTTTTATCATATCAAATTAAATATATTTTATTATTATTAAGATGCTATAGAGAATAATATTCTGCAGAAATCTATATTTTTATAGAGAAGAGATAACTAGTCTTATAATAAGTAAAGTAAAAAAACGTAAATTTCTAATTTATTTTTATAAAATTGAGCCTAAAGTGTTACGTTTTATTGAGCTATTTTTATACTAACGAAAAAAAAAACCATAATTATATCCAAAAGAGCACAAGAAGAACATTAATTTCTAGATTATAGCAGAAATACAAAAAACTCATATCAAGACCTTAGAAGAAGTTCATGTTAATTTTGACGTCTCTCATGAGCGAGAAAACGTTTGATTTTGACGTAGGGACGGACCATTAGATTTTTGAGGGGAGGGGGGGGTGTTAGGCAATTTATTTTGTGCAGGAATTTTTTTTACGCCTCATGGCTGTGCTCGAATTTTATTGGGGTTTTTGCCAAACCCCACCCCTCAAACGTCTAATGGTCTGTCTCTTACCTTATAACTTTTGGGATGCAGGAACTTTTGAACGGCTTCTCATTCACAACGACACTAGAGAAAAACGTTTGCGCATGCGTGCATTTTAGCACGTTTTCTAAGAATTGTGAAGAGCTTGAGTGAGAAAATAAATGTTTACAATAAAATATTGTATTAACAAACACAATATGAAAGAACTAGCCTTAAGTTTCAACCATTGACACTAAGTTTTGGCATTTTGTGAAGTCAAATTTACATATGTTTTGACTAATTTGCATACGGATTCAGAGCATGCGTAGACGTTTTTCACTCGTGTCATTCACAACAGGAACAGTTTACTTATGACTTATAAAAGGCCATGTAGACGGTACTAGAATGACGCTGACCTGTTCTCGTTATAATCAGGTTCTTTTTAAATTTCTCATCCTAAAATGTTTTTTAGCCCAAATCAGTTAAAATTTTTCTGTTAAGTTTGGGACTGGTCAATTATCACCTAGGGCGGGGGTTTTTAGGATTTTTTGTTGCAAGATCATAAAGATTAATGGATTAAAGGTTAATGGATTAATTATTCCTTTTATTTCTGTCAATATTTACCTGATCCCCCTCAAATTCTTTTAAAATCACGTGATCCGGCCCTTAAAAGCCTAGGACTCTAATAATAATGACCGGGCCCTTAGATATGCTGAGGTTTGAAAAAAAACAACGTTTTAAGATAAAGAAAATAACTATAGAAAAAAAGATTTAAAAAGCATATATTAGCAATTATTATCGGCCAGGGCCCGTTTGTACGAAGGGTATAGTAGACAACAGCGATATCCCACGGCTGATAAATTTTATCCAGTCGATAAAATTATTGGATAGCAGCATCGCCTTATCCAATGGATAAGAATTTATCCATCGGATAGCGCTATCCACCATTCGTAAAACCGAGCCCAGCCTTTTACGAGTAATTGAAAATACTTTTTGGGCAAACAATGCATTGCGCGCCTAAATTCAGAATCGCCTAGATCTGAATCCTAATCAATTATTTCGTGATGAAATAAAATATCACTAAACAAAATACCAACCATTACGCTTTACTCTTCTTTCTCTTATACGAATAGTCCCTTTCCAGTTCCCTGCGCCATCTCTGAAAGTCGTGCCCTTGCATCGAAACGAGACTAACAATGTAATGATAGAGACCTTTGTCAATTGCCTCTAACGGTACTGTTAACGCAAATTTAGTATATTACTTTGAAATGTGTAGTACAAATGTAACGTGTCGTGCCGTGCCGTGTCGTGTGTGCCCTGACGTGCCGTGCCGTGCCCATGCTTTAAATATGTGACCTTCACTTTAATGATACCATTTTTATCTGGTTTCAATGAGTTTTTTCCAGTCGCATTTAGTAAAATGGAAAAATCACCTTTTTTAACTGACTCTCTCTCCCCTTCTACCAAGAAGAACTATATTTCTTTATTATCCCACCTTATTAAGTTTTATTAGTGGTCGCTACTGCGTGACCCCCCGTGTTGATCCCTGTCAAAATATAAGTGTCTGATCTCTCCTTTAGATTTCTAAAAAGTCTAGTTAGCCCTCTGCGACCCTCCGGCCACCCTCACCCCCGGCGTTGGAAGAAAATACATTCCGCATTGTATTCATCAAAATACCCCTTTCATTATCGCAATAAAATTACGATCTCTTGGGTAATGTCCTGAAGACCCCTGGGCACTATTGCGCAACTTGTCCGTTTCGTAGGGGAGGAATCAGGACGAAAAAAAAACGAAGGTAATTTATAAGTGGTTTACCACAAGTAACCGGCTAATAAATCAAATTTTCAGCTTCGAAGCGTAAGTTTGAAAGAAAACGAATTTCGTGGCGTACGATATAATCACCTGGGTCCGGTTGTATTGTATTGTATATATTTTAAGCTACATAGCTATTTTATTTTACAGTTATCATCTTTTTTAAGCCCATAGGTTACGCGTGTGCGCCCTAAGTGAGTTCAATGGCGTTACTGCCTTAAAAGAAACGATAAAATAATAAAGATGATAAATGTTCATTAAATAACAAGAGCGTCCTTAAACGAAATTGTTTTCAGCCTGCGTTTAAAAATATCAATGTTTATATCACTGTTTTTGATGTTCTCAGCTGGTGGCTGGTCAGTCTACAGTTCAGAAGCAGCTATAGCTATGATACATGCACAACAACCATATACGATTTGAAGATGAAAGCCGATTTCTTGTTTGATGAGTTTGATGAGTTGTCTTATGGCATGGTGCGTTCATTGGCGATTGTAACRAAGTTTTTTAGGCACGCCTGAACGGATGTCGAAAAGACGAAGCGAATAGATGATAGGGTTGATGAGGGACTGCAAGTGGGCGGCAGTGAGATATATAACATGAGGAAGATATTTGAACTCATCACTCCAATTATTGCCCTTCACAGCTTCTACGATTTTCAAAACCAACATTGGACACAAAAAAGCCACGGATGCAAGCACAATCAAGCCTAAAGTGAAAGTACGCTTGTATTCCTTGATCTTACTTTGTTGGGCTACCGATTGCTGCTGGGCGACGATGGTTCTCATCTGTCGAAAGGCCGTCAGGTGTATTTTGGTGAGGCAACATAAGATGATGACGAAGCTGGGACCAATAGTCAGAAGAAAAGGAAGCTGCCTCACCAAGGAGTTGTTCACCAAGAATCTATTTGTCACGACTGCTGTCCCCGTCACAACCCAGGCAGCTGCCGTTACTATAATCATTTTCTTGGTGGTGACTGAAGCTTGATAGTACAGGGGATGCTCGATGTAAAGGTATCTTTCCAAGCTGACGATCGCCATGGTAACAACTGTCCATGAGATGCAAAGTAACACAAAAATCGAAAAGGCTACGGTCAGCTTACATACTAGGAAAGAATACTGGACTGTGATACAGACTAGCAAAGCAACAAACGGCGGTTGTACAACGAGTCCTACCAGAAGATCGCTAAGCGACAGGATGGCCACCAAGAGGTAGTAACTGTTAGATCTGAGCTGTTCATTTTCCAGTACGGTCCAGATCACAAGAAAATTGATGAGGACGATCGGCGGAGAGGTGACGATGTTGATGGTAATTAGAGAAATCCACGTTGGGACGACCGATGATGGGAGATGGGTAATGTTTGTTGGATCAAAATTAGAAGTGATTGGGCACTGAAAAGTTGAAATGGTTTGGTTTGATGTCGATGCCATGAGCGATAAGCCAAAATGCGTCCCGTTAAAAGAACGTACTATTCATTAAATAGGTTGTTAAACAAACGTACAAGGCAGTTCATTTTCTTCATTGTTCGACTCACCAGCTGATCTCAAATACTGACGTAGAAATGACGTCATGTAAAACTGGGGGTGTCATGAAGCCTGTGAAAATTGACCAGCAAATTAAAAAATGAAAACACACATGCCCACCATTGCAATATAAATACAAAACTTTCTTTACTTCACTATTCAACTCACCAGCTGATCAGCTTATTCGAATGTTTTCTGAAAGTGTACGACTGAATTCGATGTGGAATCGTGCTATTAATTATGCAAATTTCGCCAATCCCAACGTCCGGAAAGGCTTCGGAAAGGAAATCCCTGATTTCAAAAGGGAAAGTGACACCTCAGTTTTGCATTCAAAATTTGCTCGATTCAATTCTGATTGGCTAACATATTTTTCAGATCAGCTGGCAACAGCGACTGAAGGATTTATCCCATTACAAAAACGATGCGTAAATCCTCTTGATCATCTCCATTTTTCGGTACTTCTTCTTAATGAAACACCCTATGTAAATTCTTTTCAATGAAGCTAGAAAACGTATCTCAATGAACCCATACCCTACTAATAAAGTCAGGAAAAGTTTTATGTTTGTAATTTTAAATAACTTTGATTTAAAAACCAACTCTGTGTGATTAAAGGTATTGGTAAAATGTATTAAACTGAACTGGTATCTCTTCATCGGTGCTATGTTTTAAAAGTCTTTTAAGTTGAAGCTACACGCATAGAGATCCTGAGTATCCGGCGAACCGTGCAACCTCTAAAGCTCCAATGGTCGTGCACTAACCAACCTAGCTACGCCTGCTATACTAAAATAAATCGTTAAAATTGGATTTTAAAGTTATTATTTTCAAACTACATTACGCCAAGGTTTCGTGTCTGCTCTTGATAGCTTTTTTCTACTCAAACACGAAATTTGCTTTGAATCAGATGATTAAACTATTGAACGCAACCTTATTCAACTTTATCGATCTATCGATGGAGTCCGAACGGGACCGGACGTAGGCAATCGCAAGCTGCCAAATTATTTATTTCAAACCCTGAACACACACTATTCGATTTTATTTTCCATGGGATTTTGATAATGATGTCAACATCATTAAATGATGGGATAACAGAAAAACTACATTTGTGTTTCGTTATGGATTACTAAAATTAAAATGTGTGGTTAGGAATTAGGCGGTAACCTTCCCGCCAAAATGCGCGCGTTTTCTTCTCCAGCTCAGGGGACTCAAAGTGCCATTTTTAAATTTTTAAAAAGGGTTAGGTTTCTCTTAAGCATAGGCCATAATACGACCTGGCATAATACGACTGTCTATATTTTCTGCCGATTTTCCCCCCGAAAACTTGTTAAGATGGTATTGTATTTAAATTTTTCGACTCCACAACCGGGACGCCCGACATTTTTTGTCTTCATTTTAGCATTGAATTATTTGTAAAAAAAGTTTTCTCAGAAAGTTTTCCGGTATTCATTTTTGATGAATTAGTCAGTCACCTCTTGAAATCTAGTAATCTATAAGCATCAGTTGTTTTTATCACAGTCTCACGAAATCAATTAGGAAGCCTGACACGGAAAGCCAAGAAAAGAGGGGGAAAAATTGAAAGAAAAGAAAAGAAACTATAGGTCGATTAGGTTGGGTCTTCACTTACCGGATTCGTTTCAGTCAAATTAACCATTTTTTTTCATCGGGTGGATTAACAGATAGTGCCAAATCCAACTATTCCTAATAAGATAAGGTGGTACAAAGAAAGACCCAAGATTTCTTTAAAATCCTCCCGTATTCTTTGGGTGCATGTGACTTCATAGCCAGTCTGTTGGTTGACGATAACAATGTATTCCTCATTTGCTTCTTCGAGGGATTTTGAGTCAGGTGGTTACAAGAATAAGTGGTTGTCGCTGAGTGTTCCGGGCTTTCGTCCCTCCCCACAACCTAGCATGCTAAATTCCAATTTTGGAATTTGAAGTCGAATCAACGCCTTCAATACTTTTAACTTTTTTGCCCTGAAGATCAATTTCCGAACCTTAATTAGGTATGGGTTATTTATCATATTTTAATTTAATTTGCTTTTTTACTCCGACGACGAAGGACTAGCGTCCGAAACGTCAGTACGTTTTTTCATCTTTTCACAGTGTAAACGTTACCCTTTTATCATTACTGTTTCATTAGAAACACCGACGCAGCTCACACTAGTTTTTAGCTAGTTATCTCTTCTTATCATAATTTAATTTGAGTTTGACACCACGAGCTATCTGGAAATTCTCGAACTCTGGTTCTCAGAGGTGTTTTTCTAGGTCCGCACAGATATTAGCCATTCCTTTGTTGATTTAAAGAAGAGAGAGAGAGAGAGAAAAAGAAAAAAACAAAAGGAAAAAAATGGGCCAAATGCATCGTAGTTGACTAAGATTCTTTAATTAAATGTCGTGTTAATTTTCGAATACATTTCGGCTTCTTCATGCATAATATGTCAAGTGATTGTAGAAGCGTTCTTCAAGACACCCCCATAACGCAACGCACTTCTACACTACTGACTCAGGCTAATATAGATACCGGTCATCGTTTTAATAGATTTAATTTGTCGACGGCAAAGGTAAAAACTAAATCGAAAAAGGTAAGAATGACAAATGGATTTAGCTCGTAAGAACGCTATGAAAACTGGTAATCAACCTGTCACGATTTACTAGAAGATCTACTACCGGTAGAAGGAAGCATTTGATTGGTTTAAAACACACACACACACACACACACACACACACACACACACACACACACACACAAGAACAAATTAAGAAACCTCTTGGCTGATCTAAGTCAGGGCGCTGTAACTAATAAAAGATCGAAATCATGCTATATTTAGTGCAGGAAGGAAAAGAGAGAAAACTAACAAATTCTTCTCACATGTGATGCCATACAAGTCCACTGACAGAACCCGAGAACCTGAGGTGAAAGGCGAGCGCCAGTACTGCCATGCTCACTCTCAGTTACAATTGTAATCTTCTCGTGAACAACCAAAATAAAAAAATGATATTCAAGAGAATGGCAGGTGGTATGAAATGGGATAACATTACGTCCAAGCTAAACAGTCTTGTTAACATATAACTATCCTTAATATTTAATTCCTCTTTCTATAAATATGAATATACCGTTCGGTATTTGTTGGCTGGATTGATAAGAAAGCAAAATGTAATTAACTACTTTTTATAGCTGTTCTCAGTTTCCTGCGGCATATTTTGCTGTTTATTTTAAAATTGGGTGCCGTCCTTTGGTCAGAGAAAGTATGTTTTCTCAAGGATGTACGTGTTCTGATGAGGATTTTTGACTTCCTTTTTGTCTTATCACTTCGGAGCTTGTTTTCTCTCCTCTCCTCTCTTTTCCTCTCCTCTCCTCTCCTCTCCTTTCTTCTCTTCTTCTTGTATCAGGACTTCTCTCCTATCCTCCCTTCCGCATGCCGCATTTGGCTCTTTTAGTCCGCCCAACTTGTTTCAATCACAAGAAAGCTGAAAGTCCCTAAATTATGAATTAGACGATGTAGTAGATGCATAGATAACGAAGATTCGACTTAATTAAAAAAAAAGTTATCAATGTTATCTGTAATTAGCAGATTACCTCTTGTAGAAAGGGACCGCAGAGTTTGAACAAAATAGTCTAATATATAACTACCGTTATATATTAAAAAAGAAATAAGAAAAATAAACTTGAATATGTATGTATAGGCACGTTGAACTCAGAACTAACACGCTCAACCTTTGTCTATAATTTCCTCAGTTACCTTCTTTTCTTTATAAATCTATTACTCAAGTTCCAATGCCCGCGCTTTATCGAAACCTTCCTAATGCTGTTATGCTGTCCTTTCCAGAGGTCCCCATTGGCCATGACATGACAATGGACCATTCTCAAAAGTATCGTGGTTGTGAGGCTAACATGAAATTACAAAAGAAATCACACTTTTTCTCGATGGAATTTGTAGCATTTCTTTTGTATTTCCATGTTAACATCACATTCAAGACAAATTTAATTTTTTCCCGTAAAAATCAACATGTGAGTTGAGCGTTGTGTGCATAGAATATTGATGTAGTGGTAGTGTGTGTGAGTGAAAAGTGTTCCCAATTAGTGCGAAAACGCTAGAACGACTAGACACTTAAATAAAGTGATTTATTTTATTTTAAGAAGGATGCATTACGAACGAAGGTGGCGTAGCAAATCAAAGATATTCTTGGAAGAATTGTTTGTGTTCTTTTGTCCGCTTTTCACATGCACACAGAAGTGACGTCATACTCCGCCTCTTGCCGTACACGCATGCGCCCTAGTTATTATCCCTATCCCACAAGCTTTAAATTCTTCAAACTACTTTAAAAGAGAACTTTGACTGAAACTGACTTTAGTTTTTCTTAAATTGTTATAAGTTTATAAAGATAGAATGAGTTTAGTGAATTCAATGTAGTCACGTGGTGTACAGATGTCTGCCTTCATTAGCAGAACCTTCCAGATGTTTGTCAATTTCAGAAATTAGTTTTGACCAGTCGACCTGGTAAGTACATCCRAAACAGATAAAAATCATTTCCATATCTATAATTATTGTAATCATTTTACATTATATTTTACATTTTATTGTCATTCATCTTACTTTCAATATATTTAGGGTACGAAGATGTAAACTCATTTTCTTAACGATTAGGACACCTTAAAAAAATGTTTTGAAAGACGAAAACAAATTGGTATTAGAAGTTTTCTCGAAAACCGAAAAGGTTAAAAATCGTTGAACGTAGGATACCAACGCAAGCTGGGCCCCATTGTCTCATAACCGGACTTTACGTTCATTAGCGGGCAGGAAGCCATTCAACGACCATGACAACTGTCACCATCATCTATGCCTTTGAAGAAACCGATCTGCCACGTGACCTGCTTTTGCTTTGAGCTCAGTTTGTGGCCAGTAGATTAGAGTAGCGTGTAGAAGAGTCGGCAAGATATGTCTTTAGCCTTTGGTAATGCTGTTTGTGTGTATTATGTAGTGTCGCTTTGAGACAAGCCAGTCGAAACAAAGACCTTCCAATCGGGTTGAAATCCTGTTACACGTACGTTGATGTACCAAAGTACGTGATTCAAGTCAACGGCATCTCGAGTCGTATCTGTCTCTAGGACGTTGACCCCGTCGAAGGTTATTGGAAGTTTCATTCATTGAAACTGCGATAGAATCGTCTGCAAAAGAACCACTTGAAACATGCCCCGTCAGGAGGCAGAACTTGCCACGATACGAAGCAAGGTAAGGAATATTGAACTCTAAGTTTCCTTTGATCAAAATGAATGACTCTTACAGATCTCTTACAAAGTGATTATTCATATATTCTTCAATTCTGATATTCAATAAGTTGTTGGAATGGAAGAATGTCGAAGAACGATCAAACAACTCTACGAATCTAAAGACTGTCATTGTTTTTTTTATATGATTTACGCGCTCGAAAAATTATTTTGAACCTGTCCTAATAGACTAATTTTAGTCAAGTTCATTTCACGGTTTACAAAAAGTATGTGGTCCTTATCTGCAATCCCTACTTTCTCAAACCAACTATTGTTCAAAATTAGTAGCCCATTAATCTTTTTTTGAGCGTTAAGGCAGCCAAGTACAGATTAATTAATGTCAAGAAAATCGTGTCAGTCTGTAGCCTGATAATTGTTTTCAAGGGCACATGATTATTTGGCGAGCCCTCTATATATGAAAATGTAAAAGTGGACACTTAAGTCCTTAAGATGGACCACGTAATGCTATTAAATCAAGAGTAAACCCTTATTTTAATCCTTTCGTTTGAAGAACCCCTAATTCAAGTCGAATGTGTGTTCATTGGAGACTGTTTATTGAGCCAATTCAAACCGTAATTGATATTTTCCGTAGCAACCAACAAAAGCCATAGGTCAGGATTTTGAGCAGATCGATACAACACAGAGCGCCATTAATTATTTTACGTTCATAAAAACCAGAATAATGTTTAACAGATTTCTCGAGTCAGTCTTTTATTGAACATAAATAGTCTGCTGGAGTCTTCAAAGTGGTGACCTAAGCTCACAGGCTACAATTAGATTCTGACGCCAAGATATATCCGGCGGTAACAGAGATGTCTAACAGTTCGTGTACAAGGCTCGACGCCATCATCACCTCATCCATGGATTTTTCACTCGCTAGAAGGGATTTTTAAATTCATTTTTAAACACGCTCTTTTGGCCGCTTTTGCAAGGTGAATGACCAGGAATTGTTTCTTTCCGTTCATACTGACAGAGATTGATGAGTTTGTAACTAAATGCCATGAATAACTTTAGGCGGTAACAATAATTATCTCCTCGACATCTCACCGTTTTTATGGAGCCACCAATGATCACTTACGAGTCAAGATAGTCATTGTAAGTGATCTTGCGCGGCGGTTCATTCTTTGATTGGCGCGAAAATTCCCTTTTAATCGTTTGAACTTGCCGCGGAGTATTAACTGGATAATGTTTTTGTTTTACGTGTTGAGTCAAAACGTATCGAGATTACTTTAAGGCCATAAAGAAGTCTACGATCTTCCTCTTGTCATTTTATACTAGCATCTTCTCAAAATTTGCTCGTGTAATTGTTGACTTTTTCCCCTTTCCATGGAGGTTGCAAGAAGACGCCGCGAGCGCAGACACACTGACAGTGACGAAGAAAGCTCCGAAGGATCAGCAGATTCCGAAAACGCTCTCCGAAATCAGCGAAACAAGAAAAAAAGACGAAAGCCACGACTTACAGGACTAAGTAAGCAACGGCAAGCTGCAAACGCCAGAGAAAGAAACAGAACACACAGTGTGAACGCTGCATTCAGTGCGTTAAGATTACTAATCCCCACAGAACCATCTGACAGGAAACTATCTAAGATAGAGACTTTAAGGCTTGCTTCTAGTTATATAGCACATCTTGGGACCATCTTAATAAGTGGAACACAGTGCCCTAACGTACCTACATCTATGGACGCCGGTTGTAGTATTTCACCAAATGCATCGAGGAGAGTTTGTACGTTTTGCTTGAGTTTGTTAAAAGTGGTAAGTATAACTGTAAAATGTTTTTGTACTTTAAGATAAAAGATATTTTTGTTTCCACAAAAACTTTGGGCTGCGAATATTGCGGTGTGACAAAGCCCAAGCTTCTTTCTTCACACATTCTCCTCCGGCAATCTCTGGCTTTATTTTCTATTTTTTTGTGCTTTTGAACGACAAATACTCATCGTTTATCAAAACCAAAAGATCCTTCCCCGTTGAAATAATTTTGGGATTTCCGTTGTACAAATATGTACAAGTTTTATATTTTCCCATTGCTCCAGTTCAGAGATCTGCTTTGTTTACTGACTGAAATCTTGCCATAAGTTTCACATTATCGTTCTGATCATACTGCTCTAATCCCCCATAGACCCAATGGATTTCCTAATTAATCCATAATAGTACAGCCAAAAGCGCCTCATCATCTTCTAATCAAATTGGTTCCTTCTGTTGAGAAGTACTATCCGAAGTGATCGGAAAAATGACAGATCATTCATCAAGCTATATGAAAGTCGGACGCCGATAAACGTTACGAATGAGTTGAATTTATTTACTGTAGTATACGTATATAGTAATTGTGATCGAGTCTCTCTTCAACTTTTTATTACTATCTCGTGCAAATTTAACTTCAAAATGTTCACTCCACATTTCTGTGTACTAGTTTGAAGGAAAGAATACGAAAGTTAAGTTAGGCAGACATTTATCGCCTAAGACAAATTATCTAAGAGTATTTTATAATCTTTCTGGGTACTGGTTTGAGGAAGAATGTAAAAGTTAAGTTTTTTAAAGCCAAGTATTACCTCGTACAGCTCATACAAGTAGAGCTGTAGTTGTTTGCAGGAAATAATATAAAATTACGTTTTGCAGACATTTCTTGCCTCACACTATTCTTAAAAGTAAACCATTTAAGGGTATTTTATAATCTTTCTGGGCACTGAGTTTGAGGAAGAATATGAAAGTTGAGTTTTGTAGCCAGGTATTACCTTATACAGCTCATGCAAGTAGAGCTGTAGTAGTTTGCAATAAATACTTGAATATAAAATTTAGTTTTGCAGACATTTATGGCTCACACAATTCTTAAAAGTAAACCATTTCATGAGGGTACGTTTTGTAGCCAAGTATTGCCTTATGCAGCTCATACAAGCAGAAAATAAAGCAGCGAAGATGATTTTGCACGATTGAGACTTGCTGCATGCAGATTCCCTGTAAGACAACCTTAGAGAATTGTTTGCCTAATCGTGAGCTGCACGTACTAACTTTTATCAGGATATATTTGTCCCAGCAAGAAAAGTATAAAGTATGCGTAAAATTAACTAACATAATTTTTATTTCAATTTTATGACAGGATTCTATGTACAAAAAGTACGAACATGTATTTGTGACAGTATTCAGCATTTTTTGATAAATGAGTTTGTCGTTTGATTTGTAAAGATCAAATTCCCAACTCGACGGCAATGTCTCAAAATCTGACAAAAAATTGTCTGAAGAGTTTCCAGAAAATTTCCTGTTCTAAAGCCTTCTTATAAGGATGGATTAAAGCCGAGTTGATCGATATCGGATCATGGTTTTCCTAATCCTTTAACTCCGTGATGCGCTTCAATGTGATTTTGTAATCCACTAAGCAGCCGAGTTCACCAACCTTCCCATGATTTCCTTTTCGCTTTTGTAATAGGCTGCTTAAGGCTTCCATAAACAAATGTAATGGAGGGATCATCGTCGCTAGATGAGTCCAAAGTTGATTTTCAAAACACTGCGTGCCGTAAGGAATGTCTGCCTTGCCACACAGAATTCGAGGGCATTTGTGAGTGCAGCCAATAGATCTGCTAAAAGATGCACCTTTGCATGCCATCCTGCTCCAAAGAATACTAGGCGTATTTGTTTTTGCTTTGAAGGTGTTTTTCTTTGAGATTTTGATAGCATATTTGTCTATTTTCTAAGTTATAATCTTAAGATTAGGCTAATAATCTCAGACTACAGGCATTACATTAGTAGTGGAATTAGCTCGCTGTTATCGCGTCAAAATAACTTATACTATGATAGTACTCAATGTTAATAGCTAACCATATCGAATATCCGTGCCTATCAAGCCGTTCCAGGAAGCAAGTCATCAAAGTTACATTAAATTACTTTACGCTGTGGGACCGACATCAGAGTCTCTTGATCCAGAAATATCTCTTAAATAAACCTATAATTAACGACCATTGACGAAATAATTAAACCTGTCGTTCGACCGCTCTCCGACTTAAAATCTCTACAATATTTGTTACTTAGTTTATATACAAAAAGAGTAAAAGGTAGATTTGCTAAACTCTTAATAGATGAACAAATTTTGAAGAGTTTTTTATAACGTACCATGGTTTAATGAATCATGTACATAACTCCCTGTAATCGTATCACCGCTAAGAGGATTATTATATACTAGAGAGATAAGACATTGCTGATTTAAGTCCTGATCACCAAACCAGACTTATTATTCGTCTAGCTCTTAAGATAACTCAAATGTTTTCTTTGTATTCCACTGAATAGTTCAAAGCTAAGGTATGATAAGATGTATCTTGATAATCTTGCAACGAAATATAGGAAACTGCAATTAATGAAATATTCACCCAGCAAAAGCATAGGGGTGTTTTATCTCTAATATCTCATAGTTTTTACCTCCACTGCCTTTCTGTTTATCTAATTTGAAACCATTAGTCTCTTGTATGTTATTACTTTTACTAATGCTGAGAATATTGCTTTTGGAAGTACCGATAAAATTGTATAAACAAAAACATTATGCAGGGCTGAGAGATTTGAAATCGCTTACTCGACAATGAGTCTCATTGCGAACCCTTGAGGTCAACCAGCTAGTGATAACTGTTATAAATTGAAGAGTGTGACAATATGGCGCTGTGATCCATTAAAGGTCCTCTAATGATATCTTTGTAAATAAATGAATAGTTATCTGACCAAGATCGAGACAGTCTCCCTCCTTAGTCCGACTTTCATTCCGGCACACTGCCATGTCATTCAATGAAAAATGCATGATATGAGATGTGTGAAATGTTACACGAATATTTCTTGTAGGGGGAAAGGAACTGCCAAAGAAATTTTTATGATCTGTATTGAATTGCTAAAGAGAAGAGAGAGAAAAAGGAAGGAGAAGGGAGAAGAGAGGAGAGGAGAGATGGAAATTGAGAAGAGGAGTAGAAAAGRAAAGAAACGGTAATGAATTTCAAAAAGGTCTGTCATGTGCTTACCGTTCAATACGCATTCAGTTTACATTAGCATACATCCATCACCCACTGCCTACTAACCACTAATCACTGCTAGCTGTACATCCTCCCCACTAACCACTGTACACTATCAAACATCCATCACCCACTAACCACTGTACACTATCAAACATTCTCCCCACTAACCACTGTACACTATCAAACATCCATC